GAGGCAAGGGCTTGTCCGCCCCTCTCAGAGCTCGTCAGCTCGAACTCATGACATTTATTGGCAAAATGACTTCAGTTCATTGTCTAGTTCCATCAGCAGCTCTTCGGTCTCATCCGATTCAGAAGTGCTTCCTGGACCACAATGCCCATATGCAGAACTGGACGTTCAGGGTAAACTGTCGGCTCTGGTGACCCCACTTGGTGGAAGGACGCCTGGAACTTGGAAAAGAGAGTGACCCTAGATCCGACGGCTCCCTTGCTGACTCTCAATACGGATTCATCACTCCAAGGGTGGGGCGGCCATCCGTATGCGGGCTGCCTCATGAATTTGCTGGCATTGCAGACTGTTCTACTGTCTCTGAAACATTTTCAGGGGGTTGCACTACCACAGAGTCCTGCTTCGAACAGACAACTCCTCAGTTGTTTCATACATCAACAAGGAGGGGGGCGCGTTTCCCACATTGTCAAAGTTAGCAGAGGAAATCCTCTTTTGGTGCCTGGAGAACCAAATGGAGCTAACGGCTCACCACCTTCTGGGGATACGCAACAGCTCCACGGACGCCTTCTCGAGATGAGTTCGGTTTCTGAATACAAGTTGCAGATCTCCCAGTGGGTGGTGGATCGCCTTTTCATCTCTGGGACGGCTCCCGGAAAGATCTGTTTGCCAATCACCAGAATGCTAAGCTCCCGATTTATGTGTCACTTCTCCCAGTGACGAGCGCCTTTGCCACAGATGTTCTATCGATATCTTGGAGTCACATGGATGTTTACGCCTTTCTGACCTTCAAACTACTGCACCAAATATTGAAGAAACTGCAACTCGAGCCTACCTGCCTTCTGACACTGGTGGTTCCCAATTGGCCAGTGAAGCTCTGGTTCCTAATGTTGCTAGACCTTCTAATCGAGTCCCCAGTGGAGTTGCTGGACCTTTCGGATATGTTCTCCCAGCCAGAGGGCACTCTCCCGATGAGCCCCTAATTATTCCATCTTCACGCATGGAGGATGTCGATAAACTCGTGCAAGCGCAAGGCTTTGCTGCAGAGCTGTCCAGGTTCCTCGCTTCAGCACAGTCGGATGATGTAT